ACTGATTTAAACTACCAGTATTAAAATTATTCAAATAAATACAATTTTGCACAATATTGTAATTTTTCAAGTTTGACATAGTTTTGTGTTTTCATTGGCATTTCTATCACTCATGATCTGTAACAGCACATCTATAAATAAATATCCATAAAATGACACTAGAAGAGGCACAAATCTAATCGAGGACTTACATTTACTAACTTAGGCCAGACCCAAACACAGAAGAGCTGAAGGTGGGTGGTAAACACACACAGGTAGTTCTAGTAACACCTGAGCGCCATGATGTTTGAGACAATTTGATACAATCTGTGTTAGAATTGACTTTGTTGATCCCACAGTGGGGAAATTCATTTGTTACAGCAGTATAAACACTAAAACAAATAATTTGAAGAAATTAATAACAAAGATACAGTACATGTATACACATAGGCAGTAATCTATTACTGTAACATTCAACCACAATAAATAAATAAATAAATAAATATAATGAAAACACAAATAAAAATGAATAATTTGGGTTCTAGAACTGTACACCATACTGTAAGAGACACAGACACACGCTGTGTCTCAATTCAGGGTCTGCATCCTTCGAAGGACCCAGTCTACTCGGCCGACATGGGCTGGGCCCTCCATCGGCCGAGTAGACCGGATGTTAACGTCTGTGAATTTGGACAGGCCTAGCCTTCATGAATTCCTGCCACTCCCTCGGCGAACGTACCATCACCTAGCAACCGTGGAACTGCTGAGCAGAAGGGTGAAGGAACTTTAGACGATGGAGCTCAAAGTTTTATTTAGCTTTTTAATCATTTCCTTGACTGTTGGAGAGCTAATTCAGAGAAAGTTCTTTCGACAAGCTGAGCCTGAGCAAAGATGTGATAATAGTTTTTAATACTTTCTAAGGGTCTTAATTTGACCAAAACCGATTTATCACCTTTTAAGACTTTTCAAGACCCAGCGGATACCCTCTAGTAAACAATTCTCATTTGTAAACAAAAATAAAATTCAAGCGTTTAATACAGAACTGATTTTATTTAGATATTTCTTTTATATGTACATGTTTAATCTTTCTTAACCATTTTTTCTAGCAAAGTAAAAAGCCTGTCAAAGTTCTTCCTTCTCTCCTGTGCCCTCTGCTGCTCTGCCTACCTCTGCAGCCTCAAGTCCTCCCTGATCAGCTCCAGAAGCTGGTCATCGCTGTCACCTTCTCCTGGATGCCCATTTTCTCCAAAATAGTCTTAACAAACATGTAAGAAAAAAAAAACAGGAAGAGAAAAGAGGACAACGGGTTATTCCTTTCATGTTTTCGCAGAAAAAAACTAAACTCAAACGACAGTTTTTAAAAATATGAGATGTTATTGTACCTCCATGCCACAGCCGCCGAATACTTTGCTCCAGTGATCATGTGGTCCATCTCCGCCCTAAGCTTAATAAAGTCTGTGGTTTTTCTCTTTTGTCCCTAAAATACAAACTTCTATTAAAATCAGGGGGAAAACGTAGCGGGAGAAGTACGACACCGAGCGACCGAACATACGAGCCGAGACCGCAATACAAGCACTTTTACTGTAACATTTCAAACTAAAATAACGTTCATGTATCACAAAAAGCCCTTAACCTAACAGTTTTCAAGTTTATACTGACATTTATATGCACAATCCTCTCCAACAGCTCCCGCTTCACTGTCCGCCATTGTTTTTAAAAGTTTTTCTGCCGGGAGGCCCGCAAGGCTTCTTGGGAAATGTGAACCATTGAAGGATACACTGGACCCATCCTTCATTCAGGCGAAAAGAAGGCCGGATTCATCTACCGCATTTGAAGGAGTCTTCGAATTGGGACAGGCCTAGTCGCGGCGCTGTGACGTAACCGGCCGACGAAGGACGCAGACCCTGAATTGAGACACAGCCACACTGCCATGTTCTGTGCCCCTTTTGTCCCCAGCTCCCTCCTGGTTTCCCTCATGTTCTCCATTCTCCCCACCTTTTGATTTAGTGTTTCAGTTCTCCTGTCTCCTTTAGTGTGTGTGTGTTTCCTTTCCCCAGTTAGATTATTTATTTTTCTTTTTTGATCACCCTGTCTTTGTTTCTATTATGCTTTTAGTTTAGTTTGGTTATTTCAGTCACGTTGGTTTTCAGGATTATATTTGTTTTTTTTCCCCTGCTTATTTCTGCTTCTCCTTAGTTCGTTGTTTTCACCTGTGCCCAATTCCCACACACCTGCCCCTTGTCTCCTATCACCAGCGTCTGTATACATACCCTGCCTGTGTCTCTCTGTGTTGTCGGTCCATTGATGTTGTCAGCGTTGTTTTTGCCCCCCTCTAGTTTCTCAGGTTCTTCATAACTCTTGGATTTTGCTTAACCTCCTTAATAAAAGGAATTTTTTTCTTACAACCTCTCCTTCCTCGAGTCGTTCTGGGTTTCTGCATTTTGGGTCCGACCTCCTCCTACCTAATCGTGACACATACTATGTAAATCTGGTATTGCATGAATATTGAACACAAACTGAGTGTTGCACTGGTGTTATTGTGTACCAGGATAATGCCAGTAGCAGTTAAACTGAGGAGTTATACACTCTTACTGCAGAGATGTCTCAGTCGGCCTCTGAAGGAGCTGTCCATGGTCTCCACAGTGGGATGCAGTGGGTGGGAGGGTTTTTTTTTAAGATGGAGGTCATCTTCACCACCATTCTCCTTCCACACTTCTCAACAGAATCCAGTGGTCAGCCCAGAACCGAGCTAGCTTTGTTAATTAGCTTGTTCAGCCTCTTCCTGTCTCTGTCAGAGCTGCCTGCACCCCGACAGACCACAGCAGAGTGGATAACAGAGCCAACAACAGAGTGATAGAAGGTTTCTAGCAGCTGGTAATTAACTCTGAAGAACCTCAACCTCTTCAGGAGGTGGAGGCAGCTTTGTCCCTTCTTATACAGCATCTGTGTTGTTGGACCAGTTCAGTTTACTGTTGACGTGAACACCCAGGTACTTAAATTATCCACCGCCTCAGTGTCTGCTCCCTGGATGTCTGCTGGTGAATGAGGACGAGTGTTTCTCTGGAAGTCACTCACCATTTCCTTTGTCTTACTGGAGTTCAAGCGAAGGTGGTTATGCTCACACCAGTCCACAAAGTCCATGATGACTGACCTGTACTCCAGGTCATTCCCCTCAGACACACAGCTGACAATGGCCGAGTCATCAGAGAACATCTGGAGGTGACAGCTGCTAGTGCTGTAGGTGTAGTCCGAGGTAAGAAAGGGTGAGAGCACTGTACCCTTTGGAGCTCTACTATTGCACACAACCACGTCAGATCTACAGTTGTTACAACGCGACAAAAGAAATGGTCAGGAACAGGCTCCAGTTGGAAGATCTGGGAAGACTGTGAAGAGAAATTAATGAAGTGACGTGTGAGCGGTGAATAGGTGAGCGGACCTTCGGAACATCCCGCTGTCACACCGAGAAGGGTAGAGCTTTGCGCCTGCAGCGGCGAATCTGCAGGTCTCCGAGTCCGCAGCCGTAGACTATTCATCACATCTTCTTTGTTCCTCACCCGCTGCGATGCGCTTGGATGAAAACATCTGCTCCTTTAGCTCTTGGTCAGCTGATGCTGGCTTCAACACACCGTGCTGCTAAATTAAAGTATGCATGCATTTTCTTATCAGTAATGGAAATGGCGTTATGACAAAAGCAGATGGTAAATAATTAGATAACTGAAAAAATAAATTCCATTATTAACGCCGTTGTTTTAACACCAGTCAGCCAAAAATGGCTGACACTTCTCTTTAGGAAAACTTAGTATCAAGAAAATCTGCAAACCTAAATGAACAGATGCAACCTTATACTCAAGAATGGACCAAACCTTCGCCAGAACCAGACCATTACTGTTGACAGCAGAAAGGCCCAGCTGGACAAAGAGGTTCTGCTGAACTGAAATGTTTTCTCTGTGGTTCAACTACTTCATACCGTGCTTCAAGTGTGGAAGAAAGAAGTCAAGACTCTAGGTCTTTATTTTGCTTTTCTATAAGATATCATTCCACTTTAATGATCAGTTAATTATAAGTCCTGTTCCCAGGACTTAATCTAATCATTTCTGTTTCATCTAATAAATTCTTTTTGTGGGGCTTGGTGTTCAATTCCATCAACATTTATTGTCAATAATCAAGCACAGTTACAGCAAACAGTATGTTAATAATAGATTTTGCATACGTTCTGAAGGTCAGAGTCACCAGTAAACAAACAGAGGGGTGTGGCAGTGGAGACTATGGAGAGTTTTGGTCAGGAGTTTCCATCCACTCATCATTTCTTTCTCTGGGTCAGAATTCTACATAAAGAATCTGGGAATTCTGGCTGATCCTTGGCTTCCTGGTTCTGACAGCTTTTAGTCCATAAATGTCCATTCCAGTTGATGTTCAAGGTTTAGTGAAGGAAGTTCAAGAAGCTTCATGATCCAATCAGAAACCAGTGATGCATTTCTGGGCTCATTCTCCTGTTGGACCACCCACCCAGGTCTAGCTGATGGTTACAGATGAAACTGTAGAATCTGGAGGTGGTTCTCCTCCACTTTCTGCACCAGAACCAAACCATGATGCTGCTACCTCCAAGATGGGCAGTTGGTCTTGCTCCAGAAGATGTTAACATAATCCATGTGGACAGCTGCAGCTTGATCCAGGTCTCATTGACCAGGAGCTTCTTTCTTGGTTCTCCTGATGATGTAAAACTAGTTCCAGAGTGGAGACTCTGGTGTTCCTGCAGGTTCCAGTTCATGGTCTGAGTCTTGATGAAGGTTCTTCTGCCTTTTCCTGTTAAAGATGTTCCAGAACTTTCAGCGACACATTGACAGATTTAGGTGGATGTGTTTTTACATCAGACCATAAACTCTAAAGTCTGAACTCAAACCATTTCAAACTGTTAGAACCATTCCTCCTGCAAGAAGAACGCTTCAAACAAACAAAATATTCACTGTCCTGACGAGTGCGAGGAACCTGCTGTCAGAAGACAACTCACCCTGACTTACAGGTGAAACTGGAAAAGTTTTAATCTTGTGCAAAAGGTAATTTACATCACTAATTCAACTTAAAAGGAGAAACTAATCTAGGAGACAGACTCATTCCATGCTAATCCAGATCTTTATCTGTTATAACTGTGATGGCTTACAGCTGATGAAAAACCCCACATTCAGGATCTCAGACAATCAGAATATTGTGAAAAGGTTCAATAATCTAGACTCAGTGTCACACTCTGGTCAGCGGATGAACATAGAATACCTGCAAAGGGTTCCTGCCTTTTGATGGTTTCTCAGTCTGAGCTGGATTACTGGCATAAATTGACTTTTTTACCAGATGAGACTGGATCAGCTAATGTATTTTTTTTTATTTTTAATGTATATATAGCGCCAAATCACAACAAGAGTCATCTCAAGGCACTTCACACAGTAAACATTCCAGTACAGGTCAGTTCATTAAGCCAATCAGAAAAAAGTTTCCTATAAGGAACCCAGCAGGTTGCATCGAGTCACTGACCAGTGTCAGAGTCTTTACAGCAATCCTCATACTAAGCAAACATGCAGCGACGGTGGAGAGGAAAACTCCCTTTTAACAGGAAGCACTCCAACCACTCGGTGCAAACGTCTATCCTGAACACTTCCTCACATCCTATAAAGACCTTAGTGTCGACCTAAAGTGAGCTGATGTGGACCAGATCCAGCTCAGCGTTCCATGAATCCAATTTCCACAAATCAGTAAAAGAAACTTCACAGATTCTACAGACGGAAAACTTCGGGTGTGATCAGCTGACCAGCAACATTCACAGATGAACAACCTCCTCCAGTCCTGTGGGAATTATATTTTGAATAAATGAAATGAGCTGATGAGTGAATCCTCCTCTAGCAGCTGTTGGCTTCAGTCCACTGAGAATCTCAGGATTCCCCACACTGAGATGCCTCTGACTGCTGTCTGCTGCAGGATGGGCCTGGTCACATGGCAGGATAATCGTACAGCTTTTGACTTGATCCTCCCCCGATAACCCTAATGGCTTTAAAGATAATCTTATCAGATAGTCCTGCCATGTGTGGTGAGTTAAGACTATCTGGTCTGCTTGGAAGCACATTGGAACTGCTCCCATGATGGATCATCTTAGCCCTGTATTGATGGATGTGTGGGGAGCTCCGAGGACAAACAAGCATGCTACATGTTAATGTCATGTGTAACCAATCAGGAAGTGGGGTGACGGAAGCACGCAGCATGCTCCCCCTCCACCATGTTTGTTTACTCTAAAGTCACAAGTAATCTTCAGAGGTTTTGTGGGATTTCATGAGTGAACTTGGTTCATGTGTAGCTATTGCCTGTGACGCAGTAGGACCAAAACCATTATGGGCCAGTTGTTTCATCACCACATGAGGGGTCCCTCTTCTTTCCAGATACTCTGGCAGATTAGAAATCCTGCTGTGTGAACCAGGCTTTAGACTCAAACACCTGGAGAACTTGTGTCAGTCCACAAAGACACTCGTTTCAAGTGAGCAGTTTTTCTTCACAGAAAAATCCAAAATCAATAAATTCAATAGATTTTTCTATTCAAAAAGTATCAAAGACATTTTTTGGTTTTACAGTCGATGCCTGTTGCCAGAGCAACCCAGGATTCAGGCATTTGTTAGTTCAGGTCACACATATCCTGCTGCAAGTTTGATTTCAGAGTTCGTCTTTCAGCTGAAAAATCTGAGAGGAGTTCTCGGCTGTTACAGAATCAGAACTCCTCTCTGGGACCAGAAGTTTCTGCTTCGCTTCACACGGTGCTTATGAGTCACAGAGGGAGCAGTGATCTGACAGTGAACGGGGGAGATCTTCAGTTATCCTTCAGGCTCGTCTTTGTGTTCTCCATCTGGTGAGAGTGTGTGTCTGGAAGACTCACACTGATCGTGATGATGATGTGTGTACACACAGACAGGATCCTCTCCTTTTGCAGCTCAACAACCTGTATGGGATGAAGTAAAAGCATTAGCGGTGACTCCGGCCCCGTCAAACGGTTTTGCACGACGAGTGTGTTCGTGCACAAAAGAGGACAGATGAAGGGAGTGGTGTGAAAGGCTGAGTGAGAGAGAGCAGGTGTTGGAGTGCTTAATGGTGGATGGTGTGAATGCCCACCGCTGGCCTGTCCTGATTAGGGGAATGAACCTCTGCTTTGTCTCTGCAGCCAACAATGAGCATGCAGCATCCATCAGGCGCTCCTCACAGACGCCTCAACATTTAATGAGTCTATTGAAAACTTCCTCCTTCCCATGCCAGCCCACTCCCAACGTTTGACAGTGACTTAACCCTCTGGAAATATGGAGACCATCTGTTGTTTCTGTCCGTGAATTCACTTCAACAAAGACCGTGGGGGCGTTGTTCACACAGGCACGATGCAGGTAAATGGAGACAACCAGAGCTCTTTGTGTCTCAGGTGGATCTCTCTGATCCACAGGACCAGTGTCAACTGACGTGGATGTGTTTAGATCAAAGAGAAAAATACATCTACATACACTGATGGAAAATAAACATCTTCATGACAAGCATCAAACGATCCTACAACCAGGAATCCACCGTGAAATAGCCACTACGCTGTGATTCACGGTCTTGGTCCTGTTGACTGAACCAAATGAGTTTTTAGTCACCATGAATCCAAAGAGCAAGTGTTATTCTGTCGGAGTGGTTTGATTTGAAGACAAACAACAAAGAACCAGACTAAACTCAGTGCTTTCTTTGGAAATCTCAGGTGTCCAACCCGGTTCTCCAGAGCCTCTGTCCGGCTGGTTTTAGTTATTTCTCTGCTCTAGACCCAATGGCTGAATTACCTCCACAGCAGGTCCTACAGAATCCTGTCAAACACAAGGCAGAGAAGCATCTAAAGCACACAGGCATGCAGAGACTTGCAGGGCTTTTATTTTAGAAGTCTTTCATCTATTTAGTTTGACCATCAACTTTAAAAGGTCCACTGTCTGTCAACAGGAATATCTGCAATACGTTTACAAAGATTCGGCTCGAGGGAGGCTGACAGTCAGACACTACTGGCAACAATCACAGGTCATGGGATTTGTTTCCCACGTAAAGCTGGTTTATGCTTCTCCGTCAGCTCTGCAAGGGACAGACACGCACGGATTGACGGAAGCGTTTTGCTCTCATACTTCTCCGTCTCCTGGAGAGTGTTGCAAAGCAATTCCCCAGCAGGACAACAGAGGGCGTAGCGCTGTTCTGTGGTATCCTGTCATGCATCGGTCCAAGATAGTGTGTTTATATTGTGTTTTTGTATATAAGAGACTTTTTAACACGGACAAATTTGTCTCTCATTCTCCTCCACCTCTTCATGCGCTCACCACCTCTAAACCAACGTTTCCTGTCATTTCCGTCCACAAATAAAATGCTTGCTGCGCATCTTTTCACTCCTCCAGTCACGGGAGAATTAAACGTTCATATTTTAGAGTTTTTTCGCGAGGTATTCTTCAAGCTTCTCAGTGTCTGCCGTTAGTTATTCTCGGCTCTCTTTATGTTTTTGAGGGTGCAATGGCGGCGCTGTAGACGACAGCGGCGTCCTGACCAATCACAAGCTTGCGTTCTCCGTCTCGTTCGACGCATGTTTAAAAAAGTGGGCTCGACTCCGTATGTACTTGTGTGCCTGCCGGGGCCCTATGCAAGGACGGATAATGGAGTTGCGTGTCTCCGCACTGACGCAGACGGAAAAGCATGAGTCAGCCTTAAGACTGAAACATTATTCAGAATAATAGATTAGAGCACTTTTCTAGACACTCAGAGCACTTCATCCATTATTCATGTCCTCACTCATTCACACTGCTGCTGATGGTAAACTACATCATAGCTACAGCTGGCCTGGGGCAGTCTAAAGGCCCATTCCCATCTGTACCGGGTCGGCCCGGGCCGGGTAGCGTAGGTTGTTTACATATCTGGGTGGCCTGGTATTTTTCCGGGCCAACCAAGGCTCATTCTCAGCCCTCTTCTCGAGGGGGTCTGCTTCAGGCCGACCAGGACCAACACACCCACTGCTGACAGCAAATGCACACCTTCCATTAGAGCAAGCCTCTGATTGGTGGGTAGAATCAGCCCACATGGGCTTAAGACAAGGATGTGTGGAATCAACCGGGCCAGGCTGGGGCCAACTGGGGCTACCCGGCCCGGGTCGACCCGGTACAGATGGGAATGGCCCATAACAGAGGTGAGGCAGCCATGATGCACTATCTGACCTCCACCAAGACAGGAAAGTTAGGTGAAGTGTTTTATTTCCAAGAACACAACAACAGAATTCCCAGGAAGGAGCTGGGGTTGAGCAGGCAGCTCTCCAAGTACAGTAGTGGACCACCTGCTCTAGCTCCTGAGCTGCAGCAGCTCTTCAAGGGTAAGGGTTAAGCAAGGTTCTGAACTCAAACGGTAGAGTTAAAATTCACCCATAAATGTAACGGTTGCACACTGAAGCTGTTTCAGACCTCTACAGGAGCACGAGTCTGTCTGTAGGATAAACAATACTTTACCTTTTCTGATTATGCAGTTTTTCACCGTCGCCCCAAAACAATCGGTAGTTTTCCGTTTACGCCTGATGGTGAGTTTCTGAAAACAGCTGATTAAATCTTCATGACCCATCAGTTCGGACACTGATCTGTGGGTGTTTCTCAATGAGAAGGAACCTTGCCTTGACGTCCTGCCACGATTGCCTAGGAGATATGTCATCAGGGACCACCAAGGCGTGTTCCAATGTTCATGTTCTACCGAGGCGTCTGTTCTCTGTTTGTTAGAAGAAGAAGAAAAGATATTTTCTATAGCGCCTCTCAAGATAAAAATCACGAAAAAATCTGCGTAAAGATGGTAAGGCTGCACAGTGGTGCAGTGGTTAGAGCTGTTGCCTTGCAGCAAGAAGATCCTGGGTTCGCTTCCCGGATTGGGATCTTTCTGCATGGAGTTTGCATGTTCTCCCTGTGCATGCGTGGGTTCTCTCCAGGTACTCCGGCTTCCTCCCACAGTCCAAAAAACATGACTGTTAGGTTGATTGGTCTGTCTAAATTGTCCTTAGGTGTGTGTGTGTGTGTGTGTGTGTGTGTGTGTGTGTGTGTGTGCGTGTGTGTGTGTGTGCGTGCATGATTGTTTGTCCTGTATGTCTCTGTGTTGCCCTGCGATGGACTGGCTCTCTGGACTGGTGCAGATAAGATTTTCAAACTGGGGGGGTAAAGTTCCAATGTACCCTCCCCCAAACACATGCACACACACACACGCACACACACACACACACACACACACACACACACAAACTATTGCAAGAGCCTTAACTAGAGCTCAGTCCGTTTGTGTAATTTCCTCTAACAGTTTACGTAAAAACTAACTTTTATGTACGTGTTGGACGCCATTATGCAGTGGAACACTGGCAACAAAACTCTGCCTGATCAACACTATAAATGATAAATGACCCGCACTTGTATAGCGCCTCTCAGAGTAAGGACTCCAAAGTGCTTTACACTACAGTGTATCATTCTTCCATTCACACACACACATTCACACACTGATGGTGATGAGCTACGATGTAGCCACAGCTGCCCTGGGGCGCACTGACAGAGGCACCCCACTATTTAATTCAGTCATTTGTTATTCTCCCAATCAAGTACTAACCAAAACCTGATGCTTTATGCAAAACATTAAATGATTTTCAGCATACCGATCTTTACAGAAAGCATAAAAGCCATAAAAAACTGCACATAAAATATATTTAAAAAACAATATTCACTTAGAGCAGTAATTCCCAAACTTTTCAGCCTGACCAACAGATGTTCCTTCATATTTTTACGTAATTTATAAATTGTCATTATATTTGGACATTTTTTTATTTATATATAAACATATAAATCTCTTTTTAAATTTTATATTTTACTTTTTTATGATTATGTGACACACTTGACTTCCATATAAACACATCGGTATCTGCCTCTTTTTTACAGCTTTTTTTTTTTACATTGTCGCTACGTCTGTCACGTTAGCGGTGTTTTACCATAGTTTCTACATCCATCACGTCCCAGAGAAGGTTAAACCTACATCAAACCCAACGTTTGGAGCTTGTAAACTCCACACACCTCTCGTGCAGCACCAGCTGTCTGATGCTGCAGCAGCGTCAATCTTCCCGGCTGGATGAGCGAATTTCTTCATCAGAGTCAATAATCTGCTTCATAATCAGAGTCAGTCATGACCAGACAAAGTGATCAGTCAACAAAGACCAGACCTGCTGGCAATTACAGGTTTTATCTAATATTTGCTCTCTTCATGCTGCACGCATCTCCTCCTCTCCCCGACTGGGAGCCTCTCGGCGGCGGGAGGCATTTTTCAAACCCTAAAAACTCCCAAACTTTGCTCAGCCTGAAGGTTCCACATCTCCACTATCTTCTGGTGTAAAGTAGTAACTTCATGAGGGATCATATTTGTAGATGAGACTTGTTAAAGTCAGCAATGAGGCTTTGGTGCTTTTAACGAGTAAGTCCCAACACTGACAACGTACTGAAGCTAGAACCAACATGCATAAACAGACAGATCGGTCCCGCCTACTTACACTGTTGGTCTTTTTTAAATACGCAGTAATCGTTGCTCGTCTTTTTCGCTTCATCCTGCATCCTAGCAGCAACCACTTTGGCGCCTCTGGAGTCGGTGTTTGTTTACGTCGTGCTGCATTCAATGTAATTGGAAAAAGGAGCTTCAAGCTCTTAACCTCCGATTTTGTTTTCTTTCTGGCCTTAGTTGGGGGGGACGGATCGGGGTTGATCTGAATTTGGGGGGACAGATCCCCCCCGTCCCCCACCCTATCTGCACGCCTGGTCCAGGGTGTACCCCGCCTGATTGCCCATTGGCCGCTGGAGATAGGCACCAGCCCCTCCTAGACCCTACATGGACAAGCAGGTTCAGACAATGGATGGATGAGCAAAAAATAGACAATTGTGATTAAAAATGTAAAGCAAAGAGAAATCAGTGGATCATGAGGAAGGTGGAATAGGTGGGCAGAGCAGAACAAGGAGAAGGTGATGAAGGTCACACAAAAGCCAGCTTGAACAAGTGAGTCTTCAGCTGCTCTTTAAAGGAGACCACTGAGTCCAGTGATCTCAGGCTCAGGGGGAGAGAGGTCCAGAGTCTGGGGGCCACAGCAGCAGATGATCTGTCACCTTTGACCTTTAGCCTGGTGCTGCACAACCAGTAGGCTTTGATCACTGGACCTGATCTCAAAGGATTTCCCTGGTTAAATAAGGGTTAAATAGAAAATGATGTAAAGAACATGATTGTCCTTTTGGTATCTTGACTCCTCCCCCTTGTCCTCTCCTGCATGTACACCAGCCTCTCAGTCAGGAGCATTACCTTTATTCTTTTAGACGTTTCTGGATTTCTGCCTCAGTGGCTTGCCTCCTGATTTTCTAGCCTCTCTGTGTTTGACTCTCACCTGGAACTTCAGCTGCCTCTTGCTCCAGGTGTGTGATGTTACTTTTGAACAGACCATAAGTGGTGTACCTGATTTCTGGGTCAGAGTCGAGTGTTTGAGCCCAGCTTTTTGTTCCACTGCCTGATGCCTGAGTGGATTTATATTCAGGGTCATGCGTTTGCATCGATTTACAGATCAGCCACGTTTTTACTTCTGCTCATGAACCTGCAGCGCTCTGTGCAGCCGTTTCATGCTGACGCACTCAGCAGCCATCCGAGGACAGAGCACGGCAAACAGATGAAGCCAGAATCATTTTTTTCATAACACTGATTTAAGTTAAAATTCTGGACCAAAAAAAAGTGTCATGTCACGACATAAATGTCTCAACACATCAAAGCTCCCTGATGAGATCAGAGACCAGCTGACTGCATGTCAGATACCCTGTGACATCATCAACAGGTCAGAGGAAAGGAGTCCGAGAAATGTTTGGCGTTTTTTATATGCTTGCATTAAATAAATATCTCTTCAGTCATCATCAGCTTTCTCATCATAAACTTTCTTGAACAATGATGAGATTTTGTCGTCCAGCAGAAATCAGGAAAGGTTCCACATTAACAGGATTTCATGGTAAATCTAAACAAAGCCTTGACGATTGCTTCTTGACCACATCCTGTTGTGTGTGTGTGTGTGTGTGTGTGTGCGCGCGCGCGCGTGCGTGTGTGTGTGTGTGTGTGTGTGTGTGTGGGGGGGGGGGGGGGGGGTTAGTAATTTCTGAGTTCTTCGTGCTTGAAGCAGCTTGGTTCTCTTGTGCTCATGTCATGCATGTTTTACACAAGCCTTAATGCAACATCACATTTAATTCTTGAATCACAATCTTGTTCACTTGCTGCTGAAACTCCTAGATCACCAGCATGAACTGAAGCTACCTGATGGCTTGAAGCCTGTCAGCTGCACCTCCTGGAAAAAAAACACAAACAAGAAGGTTTAAAGACACATAAACAACAAAAACACAGACAAACTTAATCTTTCACCAAGCACATTGATGGATGCTACTCACTTGGTTTCTTGATACTTGCTTCAAAGAAAAACTCACAAAGCTTTCCTTTCGGAAACTCTCTGAAAGAAAGAAAAATACCATTAGACTTGAAAGTTTGTTCTGCAGAACATTTATTTACATTTAAAACAAGTGAGACAAGTTGGCTAAAACACAAAAACTCACAGAGGGACAAATATTCAATCTGAATGACAAAAGAACATTTTAGGGACTATATAATGCAAAATACACCTTTTGGAGCGTTTGATGACATCACATTGTTATTTCCTCATGCAAAACACCCCCAGAGCACTTTTTGGCTTCTAGTGATGGGAATTTCGGCTCTTTTTAGAGAGCCGGTTCTTTCGGCTCCCAAGTGTCTCCTCAGATTTTCTGTTGCGTAGAGTACATTTATCACCAAAACTAATACTAAACAAGTAAAATGATTTACTAATGTAAAAAAATGCAATATAACAAATATTTGTCATTTATATGGATTTATTAACTGAACACTTTAAGAAATCTCAACTTTCCGACTGCTGTCGCTCATTTTCTCACCGTCTAAGTCGCACTCTCCTCTCGCTCGCCTTTTCCCTCCTCCTCATTCCCTCTCGTCTCCCACCGCCCACCTGTGCTCTGCTGTGTGTCTGAGTCTGATCCTCCCTCTTCCCCGCCCCTGCTGCTCTGTGTGTGGACAGTCTGGACACGCAGTCACACATGTTGACCAATCGCCTGTAGCTTTCACCAAGGTGTGTGTGTGTGTGTGTGTGTGTGTGTGTGGGGGGGGGGGGGGGGGGGGTACAGCACAACTCCCAATGACGAGCCGGCTCCCATCGTTCACTTCACAGAGCCGGCTCTTAGAGCCGGTTCGTTTGCGACCGACACATCTCTATTGGCTTCACACGAGTGGTGCATCTAAAAAGGTGCTGCCACATTCTTTGTAGTTATTAAGTAATTTGGAACAGACACAGTTTCATTGAGTGGTAATCTGATTACAATGGGGATAGAAACATGTTTAGTTTCTGGGGGGCCTTCCACCCAATCTATCTCTGCAGCGGACTCCGTGTCTTTCCTCAAACGAAAGGTGACAAGCAACGCTCCTGTGGTTGTTGCTGTCCCTTTTGATGTTGTGTTTTAGATCACACACTTCACTCTCACCTTGGTCCCAGGCACATAACACATGTAACATGTAACATGTAACATGTGCACTTTCCTGACAGCTGCTGAACTTATACTTCTACATCCTGACATTAGCTGGACAAAGTTTGAGTCTGTGTGTTCGGAGATTTCTATGCAGGCACTCCAGACACAATTTGGCACCATTTGACTTTTTCTCTTGAATAATAATATATTTTTAATAATTATTATGTGACTAAAAGGATCAAGTCAATCAAATGCAACAGATTTAAATTTCTTTGGGAAAATTTGAATTACATTGTTGAATCCAAATAGAACAGATTTATTGATAGCAAATTGTAAATATATGCACACTAATATTTATACATGTACAAACACAAAACATATCAATAGCTTTTATAAAAAATAAACAGTAAAAAAACTCTCTTCCTTCATGATGTAGTAGATCTTCATCTATTCACACAAGGGTGTCCAGGGTTCTCCTGCAGCAACTACAACACTCCTTCTAAGGACTATCCTGTCTTTTCCAGCCTTTTAGCCACCTTTGTAAACAAAGCTCAGATGTGCCTCATCCAGAGGAGAAAGTAGCTTCAGACGACAGGATTTGAGTCTTACTTCCTGATATCTGAACATCTCTCCTCTGATTGGATAACTATGGCAAGCCAAATGAGCATTTATTCTGATATCAGGATATCAGCCAGAATTGTCATGAACATGTAAGCCATTTCTGTCCACTAGTTAACTAGTTAGACATGTTTGTGTCAACTAGTTAAATATCGAGGGTGAAAATGTGCCCACTAGTTAACTAGTGACAGCAGAAATGCGCACTAGTTAACTAGTGAACACATTTAGGCTTCAGTAGTTAACTAGTTGACACAAAAACTGCTCACTAGTTAACTAGTAAAAGCAGAAATGCATAGCAGTCAGCTACTTGAAGGTGTTTGTCTCACTAGTTAACTAGTGAGGGTCAAAATGTGCACACTAGTTAACTTGTGGTAGACATAAATGCGCACTAGTTAACTAGTGAACATATTTTGGCTTCACTAGTTAACTAGTTGACACATAAATGGCTCACTAGTTAACTAGTAAAGACCAAAATGCATACCAGTCAGCTAGTTGAAGGTTTTTGTGTCTCACTAGTTAACTAGTGATGGCCAAAATGTGCACACTAGTTAACTTGTGGTAGACATAAATGTGCATTAGTTAACTAGTGAACACATTTTGGCTTCACTAATTAACTAGTTGTCACATAAATGGCTCACTAGTTAACTAGTAAAGGCCAAAGTGCATACCAGTCAGCTAGTTGAAGGTTTTATGTGTCTCACTAGTTAACTATTGATGGCCAAAATGTGCACACTAGTTAACTAGTGAAGGCTTAACTCCTAAATAGTTAACTAGTTGGAGTAGGTCAGTGCCACTAGTTAACTAGTGAACCATTAATGGCTCACTAGCTAGCTAGTTGATGGCAGCAGGCTCACTAGTTACCTAGTTGATGCATCCATTGTCCAAACTAGTTAACTAGTGAGGACATAAATGTATACTAGTAAACTAGTTCAAGTCTACATTCACACTAGCTAGCTAGTTGCGCAGAATTCTAATTAGGAGGCGGAGAATTTCTCAAATTAAGACTCTCTATTGGCTCCCTGTGTCAAAATAAAATATGACAACCAATCACAGTGCTGAATTTCGTAAAATCCCACCCCAAACATTTGCATGCGGCACACAAGTTAACATGCTGGCCAGAGGAACCTCAGCTAGTGAACTAGTAGTGGCTTCAGTGTGACACTTACATGTAAACTTGTGAAGGCAGAACTGCTCACTAGTTAACTAGAGAGGGTACAAATGTCCACTAGTTAACTAGTGAGGTGAAAAATAAGTGTCACTAGTTCACTAGTGGGCCCCAAATCGCCCACAAGTTAACTAGTAAGGTGCGGATATGCTCACTAGTTAACTAGTGAGGTGCAGATTTGCTCACTAGTTAACTAGTGCGCCCTAAAGCGCCCACTAGTTAACTAGTAAGGTGCAAAAAAGCATCACTAGTTAACTTGTAAAGTGCAGATATGCTCACTAGTTAACTAGTGGGCCCCAAAATGTCAACAAGTTAACTAGTAGGGTGCGGATTTGCTCACTAGTTAACTAGTGAGGCACAGATATGCTCACTAGTTAACTAGTGATGTGCGGATTTGCTCACTAGTTAACTAGTGAGGTGCAGATTTGCTCACTAGTTAACTAGTGTGCCCTAAAGCACCCACTAGTTAACTAGTAAGGTGCAAAAAAGCATCACTAGTTAACTTGTAAAGTGCAGATATGCTCACTAGTTAACTAGTGGGCCCCAAAACGCCAACTAGTTAACTAGTAGGGTGCGGATTTGCTCACTAGTTAACTAGTGAGGCACAGATATGCTCACTAGTTAACTAGTGAAGTGCGGATTTGCTTACTAGCTAACTAGTGAGGCGCGGATTTGCTCACTAGTTAACTAGTGAAGTGCGGATTTGCTCACTAGTTAACTAGTGAGGTGCAGATATGCTCACTAGTTAACTAGTGAGGTGCAGATATGCTCACTAGTTAACTAGTGCGCACAAGATGCACACTAGTTGCTGTTTTTGGAGCAATCTAGTTTACTTGTAATGTAAAAATGTGTTCTTACTAGTTAACTAGTGACAAATTTACCTTCACTAGTTAACTAGTTGACATATTTGGCCTTTCTAGTTCACTTGTAATGGGACAGGAAGCACTCACTAGTTAACTAGTGAGCATATCTGCATTATAATTTTTTCTCACTAGCTTATAGAGGGCAAACTGAGCCTTACATGTTAAGTAGTGAACACAAAACACTGTCACTAGTTAACTAGCTGCAGAAAAATGCCCCTAAAACTAGTAAATTTGTGGAATTTGAATAAATACACACTTGGCTGGCATTCTGTGTAACATGTTAACTAGTTCGACCGCTGTACTGCTCACTAGTTAGCTAGTGAGCAAATCCGGCCTTTACATGCAAATGAAGAAATGCAGAACAGCAATGTGATTGGTCCATGTAGGACTGAGAAACAGAGAAAGTATGGCGGACTCTGTTCAGGCTGTTTTAAGAGAAAATTTGATAAACTAAGATCGTTTGAGCACATAAATATGTTTTGACGATATTTGTAGCGAGAAAGTTGTGGTGTATTGCTGTAATCTTTGTTCAGTTAACGTGTGCAGTCTTTAGTTTTCAGTTATTAGTCTGAAAAAGCCTGGAGGCGGAAGGCAGCGGCAGACAGCATGTCTGTTTCTGTTGACAGGAAAGTGCAGAAACTCCGCAGAAATCTCCGTCAGATATATTGTTTCACATTTGTAAGGAAGCGACAAGTTTATAATAATAAAAAAGGCTCTATTTTACATACGTTGCTGTAAAGCCTGCCAGCACTCATAGTGTTTTAAAGGTATGAATTTGCGAGGAGAAGTAGCACCTAGTGCTGGTGGTCTAGTGACTAACGCGTTCGCCTGCAATGTTGAAGGTCGCGGGTTTGATACTGGATCATACACTTTAGTTTTGTACATTATTTCACTTCTTTTCTTTTGCATAATTTTTGTATTTATGTCAACAAGAAACAAAATACGTAACGGATTAGTGGGCAGAGTTACACACACACACACACACACACACACACACACACACACACAAAACATGTAAACAAGTATTTTATGAGTATGAATCTGATTATTGCCGACAGTTGATATTTAAGCATGTGTGTCCCCCTTCCTCAATCCATCCTCGCAAAATAAAATCATCGGCACAGCACAGCAGGCTTTCTCTTGATCCAGAACTAGCACTTCGAAATTGATCATGTCCGCGGCCATCTGCTGCACAATCAGCTGCTCGCATCGCGGGAAACATTGAAAACAGCTTCATGAACTGAGACACAACAGGGTTAACATCGACAAAAAAATCCACAAATAAATCTAAATA